GATGATGTACGAGGTTGGGTATAAATACGAGATTATCTTAGTTACAGTAATTATTGAATTATCAAATAATATTAATATTATTAAATTTAGTTATGTATCCACGCTATTCATGTTTAAAACACTTCAGATGAATCATAATATTATGTGCACTATATTATTATAGTCAACTCTACGGTTAGGGAACACAAATAATGAAAATAAGGCCCAAGACTTGCTGTGAACAACATCATATTATAATACATATATGAAACTGGGAAATGGAAAGCAAATAATATAACTATTTATTTAAATATTATTTATAACGATCAATTTTATTCTCCACTAACTATTTACGACCACATTTTGATCAAGGTGCAAGTAGACCAATATTCATATTACTCAAATGAATTCATTCATCATTAAGCCAACAGAAAAATAGTAATATTATTATTTATCAAAAATGTTATCTATAATATAATATAATATTTTATTTTATATTCTTAAAAAAAAACGGAACGGGTAGGTACCTGTGTTTTTAGACAAAAAAAAAAAAAATATTATGATTACAGTTCTAAATATCTACGGTAGGTATATTCGTATTTCAAATAATTATTAAACCACTATATTACGTTAACATAGGTCATGCTGGGGTCGATGGATCATGGGAACCTTTTAGGAAATGTGATAAGCTCAGTCGAACCTCCTTGCTGATGATTGGGAGTGAACATTATATACCAACGATGATAGAATATTGTTGTATAGAAACATAATATAAATTCTTGTTACTCGACGAAAGACTAAAGTGTTATGTAATCTAAAATTATAAACTATAAACTGTTCTTGAATTTTTTTTAATGTTAATTTACACTTACGACTATAATAGTTTATATATTCCTTATTCGTAATGGATATCACATTAATAAAACCTCTCAAAAATTTAAATATTTAATAATTTGTTTAATATATATTATATATGCATATCACACTTTCGGCATTAAAAGTTTAAATATCACGAATACACAATAATTATTTTAGAAAAATTAGAATGATATTTTTCTCTATGTCTGTCTTCACGTTTGGCCATTCGTAGTAAAAACAAACATTCTTCGATTTTTAAAGGTTGGTTTCTGATCACTCAAATTGGATCTAGTTGGTACTATAGGAGCTTGTAATTTGCAGCAAATAAAGATATGTAATTTGCACAACTGCAGGTAGCCAGGGCTTAGGGGGGGGGGATCATAAGTAAAAAAATATTCAATGCTTTCCAAATAAATGGGGGAATATAAATTAATAACAGTTATTAATATTATATGAAAAAATTTTATAATGGCCATTATATAATACATAATAGGTATGTGATTTGTTGCTTAGAAAAATTAGTTTATCATACTGTGGGTATTACTAATAGAAATATATAATTATTAATATAATATAACTAATAAACTATCCTTAGAAACAAAGGCTAACAGACCGACTCCGTTCAGAATCGTTTCTTATCATTGTACCTATATATCTTATACTCAATGATTTATCATTGAATTTATATTTAACACATCCATTATACAGGCATACAGTGACCTATTTCATGCTTGGAAATTGGAATGACGATGGTACACCTCTATTATAAGTACACGCCGTACACCCGACGACCGACGCACCTACTATACAGCAGAACGAATTTCGTGTTGTTTTTTTTTTAATTTCAATAGGCAGCTTATTATGTGTAATTTATTTTTATTGTATTTTGACTTTGGTTAGTTTTAACATTGTTCAAATAATCTAATTAAAATTATACATTAAATTTTTCCAAGTGCAGATTATTATGAAACATATTTTGAAGGTAATGTTACAATAAATTATAAACCTTCTTATAAATAGTTGTTATGAAATTGTATATATTAATAATAAAATATAAAATATATAATTAATATTTAATATCTCTATGACCACCAGAATAGTGAATTTTGAGTTGTGACATTAATACAAATACATCTAGCAGCTAAACATAATAATGGGATATGACCATACAATGAATTTTAATATGAAATTATAATTTATATTGTTATCTAAGATATTATCTCATTACTTCAATATTTTAGATTCTAAGCGGAGCTATGAATGTATTGAATTTACAATGTAATTTTTTTTTAAAACAAATGTTTGTGTGTGATTTTACCGTCATCAGTCACCACGTTTTGGAGCAGAAAAAATCTTTCAAAACCTGCAAAATATTTTGACTTATTAATCTATTTATACTTCAAAGTTTGAAGTAGCCAGTGTAATCGGTACTTGTTCGAAATTATTCACACCGACACCAGTGGTGGATAAGGGGGGGACAAAGGGGCCATTTGCCCCTCTCAATCACCGTGGTTTCCCTATGTTTTACCCTGGTGCTTAGTCATTTTTTGTACTTTTCGTACTCTTGCCCCCCACAACCCTCCAAAATTATGCCCTGGATCCGCCACTCACTAACACTGTTCTATAAGGTACGCCATTATGAATGTATTGACTTATATGTTAATACAAATAATATTTAATATATAGTATATTATATTACACCTAATTAATCATTATATTTCGTTTTGGCGAGTACACGCCTTAAATAATATAATCCCTTGCCTTGCCAATGTTGTCGTCATACTATTTTACCCGGATTGTTGCATTAGCATAGTATAATACGCGTACAAGATTACCATATAATGTCCTAAACATATTATTGTATGTATTTTATAATGATTTATTTACCATATTTAAAGTAAATTTAAATCACATTTTAATCTTATATAATATATAGTATATACACCTTATATAGATTGTGCAAATAACGTGGTAACTTGTTAGTTGTTCACAATATTAAGCATACATATTATGGTTTTAATAAATAGTTACATCGTATATTAAAATCGCCTTTATTTTATAGGTGCTTCTTATTATTAAATACATCGTTAAATATTGATTGTTTAAGTTGAATACATTCAAGTATAAATATATTATACAATATAATTTAAATTAAACAATATAAAAACTATAGATGATACTTTATAAAATACGTTATTAGTGTTAAACACCATGAATAATATAGTATCATTTAACAATCAATTTTGAATTTGATATGATTTACAATTTAAATAGGTTATAAGGTTATATAGGTATATATAAATATAATATATTTTTATGTTGTATTAACTATTAGGTATTATTTAATGGACTAAAATATATACATTTTCAAGACAATAGTTATTATGAATAGGTACATTCCTATGTATTATAGTTTAAATAGTAAAAACTAATAATGTATGCACCAATAAAATATTTTTCTGTCTATTTCTTGCATACGTTCAAAGTATTAATAATTATTTAATGTTTCATACTTTAGAATCACAAATTAAATATTATTGGTACAAAGAAAGTTTTTAATGTTTATGTCATGTACTCATGTGTTCATTTTTTGGATTTTAATTTTAACTTGGTGTTCAATTGTTATGTAATAAATAACATGGCATTTAAAATTATCAATCGACAGCCTTGCACTTCAGTCCATTTTCTTCAACATTTAATGAATTTATGAACTGAATCAACCTCTTCAGTCTTTATACGTGAACATTCACACTATCCAACACCCCAAACCCCTGACCCCTCTTACATGGGCAATAGCCAATAGGCTTATGCATATTAAGTATTAACTATTACGAGAAATGGATACTGCAGTTTTACTTGTATTTAATACCCGTAAAAAGTATGCCCTACACACCTGTATACCCTCCAATACACCACTAAAGTATAATATCACAAGTCACGACTGTAAAGCAGTAACAACTCATAGTGCCGGAGACCACGCCAAAGAAAAAAACCAATAATACATTCATCGCTCCGCTCAAGTTACAAAATTATAATATACCACTGCAGATCTAGTATAGGTATATATGATGTATGTATAGAATCTATATGAATAATGCGAAGCAACGATAAGATAAATAAAATAAATTATACTAAAAATATGTCACGTTAAGCGATAAGTTTACCAAGGTATTACTTGTATTTTAGTATTTTACAAACCTATATACTATTATAATATAAGGCATAGATATACAAATGTTAATTCAATAAAACAAAAAATTATAAACAACAGTCACATAGATTTAGATATGATAGAGGCCATAATAATATGAGTAATCGTATTTTCCTACTAGAGACCTGGTTAACTGGCCAGTCCCTATATAAAAATATTATTAGGCCTAAAGTTTAACTCAAATACTACATGTTCCAATACAGTGGATGCTCGGTATCTAACTCAGGTATATCAGGTTTCTGTATATCGAATATTTTTTCATTCACATATTTTAAATTACCTCGGTGACTCGAAATTTTGATAGGTCAAGTTTGTTTTGATCCCTTACGACTGCTTCCAGATACCGAGGTTCCACTTTATTATAATATCCATTTGATTTACTAAAAATGGTTTGAATAACATTTTATTACGTTCAGTGAATAGAAAAATCTTTGTCAGGCAAAGTGGCCACTTGGCAGCTATACCACTTATTGGATGGCCAATTTGCTCGGAAGAAGCCATTAAATATCCTATGTTCTTGGATCTGATAAAATAATGCTAGATCAAATAAACATAATCCTAATAAGTACCTAATAATTATTTAGGTATCTATATAATCAAAAGAAGTCACCACTTCCCTAATGAACGCGTCGAAAAATCGGAAAAATAATATTAAAAGTTAAAACACGAATACGTGTAAATAAACAAAATAATATGGCTGATGACAGTGATAACATAATTTGCAACAACAACGCCGAGGTGCCGCATGTTCGTAGTGTTTAAAGTGTTTAAACAGTTGAGAAAACTCAAAATATGCTTTTATTGATATCCGAAGCGCATATGATTCTGTCCACATCCCTACATTGCTTGCTATACTACATTCTTATAGCGTACCTGCCTCCCTGGTTCATTTCATAGGTATTCTGTTATTCACACGAGAACTAATTTTTATCTCCCCTTCGGAGTCTCAGTCATGTCGAACACACACACAGGGTTACCTCAAGGCAGTTGTCTCAGCCCTCTACTATTTAACATATACATATCTGTTATCACACTCGCTCTGGAAGAAGCCAACATCCCGTACCTCATATACGCGGATGCCTTAGTTATCTTCCACTCCCATAAAGATTTAAATCAAGCATCATTTCTCCTCAACCACGCTCTGTCCATTCTGGCTAGCAATTTGAACAAGCTACATTTCTCTGTAGTGACTCACAAATGCAAGGTAGTTATTTTCACAAGGAAACGTCGATTTGTTCCTCTTAAATTGTTATTAGATGGCGACCCACTGCCTGTTGTTTCTGAAATTCAATACTTGGGTCTTATTTCGGACAGCAATCTCCGATGGAAGGCAGATATATTTCAGTTAACTTCTTTTGCCTACAAATGGGCAAATTTGTTAAGGGCTTTAGTTGGTAGTTGGTGGGGTTCACGCCCCTCTTCCCTACTACAAGTTTACAAGTCTATCATTAGAGCAAAGATTGAATATGGTTGTTGTTTTTTTGGCTCCACCGCCTTGTCACACCACAAGAAATTAAATTCACTACAGGCTAGTTGTCTACGCACTGCGCTCGGGTCCAACACCTACTTACAATATGGACATCTCTCTCCAACCAAAAATCTCAGCTAAAGAGTCTCTTTTCCACCTCTGGTATTAATTTTTCCCTCATTGACGCTCTTTCAACCAACAATGTTAACTTTAACATAATAAAACATACACTAAATTTTATTCTGCAATCAGGCCTCCTAATTTAAGAGTGTGAACTTTACCAACTATATTATTCCAGATTAATGTACATAATTGTTGAAATACCATAATATAATGTTAAAATATCATTAATAAAAAAAAAAAAAAAAACTCAAAATATGGTCACTTATTTGCCCGCACTGGCGCACTGGCCACTTTATCCTCCAATTTATATTGACACAATGAATACAACACAGTGACAACAAATCATATATTTGTAGTCTATATAAATTAGTTTATACATATAAATTGTTAGTTGTGTACTAGTTTACCTTTAAAATAATTTGATAAATTTAAATTCTATAAAATGTACTTGGTTACTGGTTAAATACAAATAAAAATGGAAAAATGCAGTGTAGTCGAGGGCGAAGTAAAAACTATATTATTTAATTAAGTAATAAATTATATATAGGTAGGTACTATAAGTTTAAGTGGCCGTCACACAGTGGGATAAAAGTAATTTTAGCACGCCAAAAGTCCGAATTTAAATGGTTCATAACGTATATTCTTATGATACAATTATATAGTATAGTTGTTCGATATTTTATTTACATATCAACACTATCTTTAATTGTTCCCATTACCGTTATAATGAGCTCGTTAACCGAGTCAAATAATAAAACGATTTTTCGTTATCTGTGTTCAGTTGAACAACCAAGTACGATCGTGTAACATATGTGTCTATACGTACATTAAATTATCAATATTGAGCAAAATAATTCAAACCCAAGTATGGAAGATCACAATGTAATAGGTAAGTTTAATAATTACATGATTTTAAAACATTTGTAGCTGTATAATTTAGCAGTATAAAAAACACTAATTTATTAATATTTACAAATTCAAGAACAGATATAACTTTTTTGTAACTCGTAGTAACTTTACAGTTTGATATTTTAATTATAGTATGAATACGTATCTTTTTATTTGTATACATATGGTATTCCGAAAATGTCCGATGTATCCTAATTTTAATTTTCTTCTTAGCTGGTCCAAGTCATGAAGAATCAAATACCAACTATACGTATATGGAATTGTTTTGTAAATTGATCTTTTCCAAATGATGTTAGTGTCATCCGACCCACTAATTTCATCCCTTCGGAAGACATGTAAAAAGAAAATATATGAGCTTTCTCCAGAAGTTAAATCATTGTTAGATTTTGAATCCGAAGATGAGGAAAATTGTTCAAAATACCGATGAAACCGGTGAAAATAGTGACTTAGAGTTGGATATAAGCAGTCTAAGCATGTATAGATATTTTGTATTTGGATTTTTGTTAAAATAATGAATAATAATAATAAAATGTGTATTAAAATAATTTTGGCGTGCTAAAATTACTTTTATCCCACTGTGCGTCATCTGCAGTATTGCCACTCTGCACTTGTTGCTATGTACGGTATTTATACGTCTGCAATTTAGCACATACGTTTCATCATATCTAATATCTATGTCACTATCATAGAGTCTATCTATGTCTCTATATATCTAGTATATAATATTAATAATTAATGAACGCAACTGATGCATTTTTATCTGATTATTATTCCCGAGAAATCTAGTTATATTATAACTCCTAAATGTTAAACCCTTCGACCATATAAACTTTATGGTCGAAGGTTAAACTCAACTTTTTTTTGATTTCATAATTGATATTATGGAATACATACTGTGACATAGGTACCTATATCATTTTTTAAATCCAATCGATTTCTAGTTTTTATCTGATGTGTTTTTTTTAAAAGGTAAAAGTATAATAGTTGAAAGTTATAACATTTTAATTTTTTGTACAACTTATTCAGTAGGTATTCTATTCATAATTCATACTTCAAATTCTATAAAAAAAAAAAAAAACACTGAAAGTGACCGTAAAATCGGATGTACTTACAGACAAGTGTTCCGTATCGCGTGTTAAAAAATAAATGTACCAATAATTGTATAAAGGTGCGCATATGCCATACGCGTGGTTGTGTATATATATATAAACATAATAATATGTAAAAGTTGTTATTTTCGTATCGTCGTGTGGCTGCAATGTGTCGGAGACTGCAGGGTTGTCGCGGTTGCCAAGACGCGCGCGTGTCCGAAAGCTTTCGTGAAACTTGGCGCGAGTATAATATTGTATATACCTACTATATAAATACGGCTAGTGAAAAAAAACGGACACGGTTGAAATAAAAACATCGTCGACCGCAATAAAAACATACCTATAGTATACATAAATACCTTAGTTTTCTAATATTTAGTCTATTATTTAGCCAGTCGGTCTATTCTCTCTGACCCTCGTCATGCTATTGTCTTCGGGCCGCATACATCACACACATTTACACAATATAAATTATAATAACATATATTATTACTATATTTATTACTATATATTATATACGTCACGTACACTCCACACATATATGCGTATTAATACTACACATCCACGCGTGCGCCTCTAGATTATAATATTATATATTATTATGTATTGTATATGCGTACTCGGCGCGCGCGCGCGTTCGGGCCTGCCGAGCATCCTAGACACGTACGGACGGACAGACGCCAGTCCGGCACCACCACACAGGTTTCTGCTGGCCGTGGCCGAACGCGCGCGCTGCACCTGAAGACGATTGTATGCCGAACAGCCGACTGCCGCTGGCCGCCGCGCATCACGTGCCGCCGTATATTATAATAGTCTCGCGACGAAATTCCAAAACGCGCATTCTTGTACCGCATTATACAGACTTTTCGTATATAATGTATAGGTATACTATATACGCGTACACACACACACACACACACACACACACACACACACACACACAACGCTTGTACACAATACACCTCGATACTTAAACACACACGTGTATTATACACAAATATAATATAATACGCTGCAGATAGGATCGTATGCGTATATTATATAGGTACCTATATGTATATTATATGTATACTATTGTTATTGCGGCGTCTCGATTTACTATATATTATAATATGCGTATGCCTGTATATACCTGCAAGTACCAGCTACCTTTTGTGTGTGCGTATTAAAATATCATATATTATTGTATAATATTATACGTTTTACTTACGTTTTATCGATCGGCGAAATCGATTACATTCATCCTTAAATAATGCATAATGTATATTTTATTTACGTACTTACTCATCTGTTATGATTTTTGGGATACGTTTAAAGACAATATTTTCAGATAGAATGTATGTAATTTATAAGGGGTTTCACATAACTTCTATTTTCCAGATGAGAACCGTACAATTTTTTAACCTAAACTACTAAACAGATTATTTTTTCAAACGTTGTTGCACTCTAAATCAACATTTTGATGGGTAGTTCCTTAAACTTTATGCAGTATTATACATACTATAAATGGATAATTATTATCCTTAGTAGTGGTTGTAAGGTCTTATATAAAAAATGATACAAAACAGATTTAATATTTAGTCTAATATTAAAATATTTATTGACATTTTATCCTCAGTATAGTTATAAAGCACCTCCGGAAATATTTTACAACTCCGAAGACTGGAAGTCTGAAACTATACTAACTATACTCGTTTGAATTTTAATTCATAATCATTAACATTTAAGAAAAAAGTCATCTGTCTAACCAATGGCAATAATACTTTACAGTAAAAAAAGATATTTGTATCGGACATTTCCTTAATGGCATAAAAGTACTTGATATAAGTATTTAAGAATATGATCATTACCCTATTATGTTGTATAAGTATACTTAAATACATCAAAAATCAGAATTTTAATGTTTGGTGAATCACTTTGTGGCTTGTGCCTATGTGGCTATTTGTATATTATATTAAATAACAAGAGTTATGTATATATTAATATTTTATTATAATATAGGATATATGAGGAAGTGTACAATATATTACACCGGTACGGCGTACCTTCTACGTATATAATATAATTGCTATTTGCGGTGTATAATGTATAATGTATATTATTATATGTACTATATTTTATTTTATTCTTGTGGGCCGAGATCGATCTACAATTATCCGAATATAGTGCTGCCTAGCAGTATACATATAGGTACCTGTGATAAAAATTATATTTTATCATAGGTACTTACGTATACTGCATATATATATAGTAACCAATACTCTATAGTAATGTATCTAGTATATATTATATATGTATATATAGGTTCACGCCGTGTGTAACAACATAATAATAGCGAAGCGACCCCTGTGTTACCGCGTGCGCGTATATAGGTATATATATTGTGTATACTATGTACAGCCAATATACACGATTTTCATACACACATATACAAATACAATATATATATATATATATATATATGCTTATTTAATATAGATATAATGTATAAACGTACCCACCGATGCAGACCGACTCCCACGGTAGCAAATGCCGGAGGCAGGATTTACTGGATATGTCGTGACGGCCTTCTGTGGGAATGCGGCCAACTTATATATTATATTATATATTCGCTACCTATCGCCGTAGCCGCATAGCCACTCATCGCGCGGTTTTACATAGGTAGGTATATTGGTATATATATTTATACGTATTATGTATATTTTATATCATACAGGTACATGATATGAGTGTGTGTCTGTGTGTGTGTGTGTGTGTGTGTGTGTGTGTGTGTGTGTGTGTGTGTGAGTGTGTGAAAAAACGTTCGCCGTTGAATTCCAATTTATTGACAAACAAGGCCAATATAGGTACCCATTAGGTATATTTGCACTTTGCAGATAAGGTAATAGAAAATATAGTAAAGAAACAAAAAATATTGCCTATAGGCTAAAACGCGTTTGTACGAATATTGTACTTAATATTATAAATGTATATTATAAATTATAATATATTTTATTGTATAATATATAGAGGGTGGAT